TAAGGAGAGAGAGAGAGAGAGAGAGAGAGAGGAGATAGAGAGAGAGGGACAAGATGATGAAGATAATCACGTGTGATCAGGTTCAAACTGAGATGGCGGCGTGATCACGTGTGGTCACTAAAAACTAGAAGATGGCGGCGTAATCACAAGTGATCACGTTGAAACTGTAAGATGGTGACGTGATCACTTGTCGTCACTATGATGGCGGACACTGACCTGAGACGGCCTAATGGTGTGGTCTATTGTCTACCCAATGAAGCAGGATTAAGTTAAACTCCAGCCACCACGTAACCTTTTTACTTTTAGTGCTACAGCACATAGTTTATCTGTAAGGACCGAGTCGAGAACACACGAGATCTGGTCAAAGGTTAGGTACGACTTTACTCATTCACTCTCATCGTATCTGCAGCTAATTTAACAATAGCAACGTCATCTCACAGCAGTCTGCTGTAGTTTTGAACATCTCCACACAGATTAACGCAGATTAAAGTTGTTTGTTGCAAACTACATTAATTTAGAGGGGAAAAAATATTTGATATAAATACAAACTTAATATTAAAATGTACCCTAAAATAAGAGTAAAAAAATTATCTGGAATTATAACTGTTTGTTATGTGCATATTAAATGGGTTTGTAGCTGTCTGTAATGGCTACGGCTCCCTGTGAGGACTGGTAGATCTCGGCAGACTGAACGCTAACAGTTGGAGTTAAAAGAGGCGGTGATGATGCAACAGAGTAGTAACAATACATGTTTATCTCTGAATTTGTAGTTTTTCCCTCTTCTGGCGGTTGAGGAGGCTTCCTATTGCTGCATGCTATGGGGAAGTTTGTGTCTACATTGAAATTAATGTGTTTTAAAAATTCATAATAAAGGTGATATTACAAACATGTTAATTTAGTTCCAAAGATGAAAATAGAAGAGAACATGTGTGATCGAGAAGAGTCCTCAAAGCTTTTACTCCACAGGTCACACCAACACATTCACACAGTTAAGGCAGAGGCTGCTATGAAAATGACCATCAGAAGTAACTCATCCCATTCATACACATTCAGACTCCACCGACGAAGCAGCGGACACATCATACATGTGCTGGGTATCGAACCCCCGACTTCCGGTTGAGAGACAACTAACTATACCAACTGAGCCACAGTCACACTGTCTGTCTGTGGAGTTCAAATAGTAATCATCTATTTTACTAATGGGAGGAAGTATTGTACTTTATTTAAAAGTAAAAACATTGTTAAATGGTCTAATCAGCTGGTTGGTGAGTCACGGCTCTACCAAGCGTCCCTGTAATCCAGACCGTTAGAGCAGATAGCTACCTACAGTATGTCTTAAAACATTGACTCCCACCCTTTGCACCGTGATTTTCAGCATCTTCCCTCTGGACGGAGGTTTTTCAGTCCCAAGGGGCAGAACAAAGCCGAACAAAAATAACTATCTTTCTGCTGCTATCACTGAACTGAAAAAGCTGTAGCCATATTTGCAAATATCCTGGCTTAATTTTGTGATTAATTTTATTGTTTTTTTCATTCATTGGTGGAACCTTGAGCACTTTTCTACAATTCTACAATTCACATAGCAGACGCTTTTATCCAAAGCGACTTTTATCATTGTTATAATTTATTCATTTTTTAAAATAATGTTTCCGTAGGTTATAAATAGATTGATCCTTCTCGAATGTGTTTATCTTCTTACATCTTTTTGTCATTTCTCTCATAGCTCGCTAGGTGTACAAATACAGTAACCTGCACCTGAACAATGTGTTATTTCTTTAAATCTCATAAAACAGGCGGGTGGAGACTAATAGGTGAGTATTACAAACATGTTAATTTAGTTCCAAAGATGAAAAATAGAAGAGAACAGAAGAATACATGTAATTGAGAAGAGTTGTGGCACTGTTATGAGCCATGATAGAAATGACTGTAAAATGATTGTAACACGCATGTTCACTACTGTGACTTCCTCGTGTAATTTACTGAAGAAGGCTGTTTGAAAAAGCAGCACACACTTTGAAGGAAACGTCCCTCCTCTGAACATCTTCACCTCTCTGCTCCAGAGGACCTGACAAGAATGTAAGTTTACATGATTTTGATTTGAAAAATATGAAAATCAGCACTTGATACATAATTCTAAAAATGTGTACTTTTTCTCAACTTGGATTTAGATCAATAAACTAATACCATAGGTTAAGGAAAAACAGACACTGTAAAAGGAGAAGCATTTTCTCTTTGATCTTGGACGTAATAAAGCTGTCGTTGTGTTTTTGTATATTGCTGGTGATTAAAGGAGCTGCCTATAAACAGATTATAGCGTTCATTTTAACTATAGACTGAAAATACATGAATGAAAAGTAGCATTATGTGTCACTTTTGCCTTCACAGACCACAAAGCTTCCTGTTTTTTTCTAATCATTTTATCATCTACAACATGATGCTGCAATAAGCAACTTCAGAAGTATGAAATAACTCAAATATACTTAGTATGAAACTGATGTGTACCCATGTGTACTCTCCAGACTTTCTGCCTATTCTGAAACACAAAGATGGCTGTAGCTCTCACTCTCCTTCTTGTTGGCTGTCTGCTCCCAGGTGAGATATTCACTCACATTAAGCCCACCACTGTAAAAAACAAAAAGTAATTTGAAATAATACCTCAAAAACTTAGCGTTACACATAGCTAGTCCAAAAATTCACAAATGATTAACACATGTTCTTATTTAAATGTTCTTTCTTGTGTTTCAGGTGCCCTGTGTGGACAGTTTGAGAGCATTATACCAAAGACTATAGAGGTTCTGAAGGGATCCTGTGTGACAATCCCCTGCTCCTTTGACGTAGAGGATCAATATAATGTCAACTTAGATAACACATGTAAAGCATTATGGAGAGAAAGTACTTTTGGACCTGATGTGTTTGATAGCAGTAATCCACAACAGAAAGGACAATTGATCGGTGACCTAACAAAAAAAGACTGCACCACAACCCTGAATGACATGCAACCTCAAAACAACAAAGAGTATTTTTTTAGATTGGAATGTGACAATAGACTGAAATATAATTTTGATGGCGTGAAAATTTCAGTCAAGGTAGGTTTCAAATTAAATTAGTTCATTCATGTAGTACTTCTCTGACCTTGTCATTGATTACTTTAAAATAAAGATAAAACAAACCTTTGATAGTAGAGAGAAATGACTGCTTATACATGTTTATGTATCTTCTGAACAGATGATCCACCCAGACCGACTCTGACTCCGCCCACACTGAAGGTGAAAGAGGGAACCTCAGTGAGTTTGAACTGCTCTGCTCCAGCTCCCTGTCTGTCTCTTCCTCCAAATCTGACATGGAGCCCCGGCCTGGGTGAAGGTCAGGAGACCCTGCAGGAGAATCAGGACAAAACTAAAGTCAAGATCTCTGTGCTGAACTTCAACGCATCACACCTCCATCACGGACAGGAAATCTCCTGTACTGCTGTCTACAGAAAACAAGATGGCAGCACTGAGTCATCTGTGAACACCAGTTTAACAGCTGACATTACATGTATGTTTGTCTTGTGATTAAGGAATTCAAACTTAAACTTTTAAATGCTCTCTCATCTCCTTAAAATCTTGACTAAATTAAATTAGGTGTGAAACAATAAGTCCTTGAAAGTAAATCTTTACCCAATTCTTTAGATTTTCTAATCAGTGTTGACATGACATCAATTTAATAAATCAAACACCTCAGTGTGAGATGCTTCTGTATTTTCTTGCTCACAAAGCTTCAACAGCAAGCCTTTAACTTGCTCTGCTTCATTTCTCTGAAGTGTTTCCTCATCCAAAATATCCTTTGCAGGCACAATTCTTGTTAATTGCATAAACTTCAAGCTGCTTTGAAATCAAGCTAAAGCAGAGACTGAGAAGAAAAGACAAAAGGGAACATCTACATCTGCATGCCATATATCTAATTCTGATTAAGATGCATTTTAGGATTAACATAATTCCCTTTAATGTACAGAAAACATGAAACTAATGGCAACCTTTCTTGTAAGTGCAAACATGCTGAAAAGCAAAGGCTTCAAATGTTGCTGAAGCAGAGTCAGTAATTTTCTTCATGATTTTTCTTCCAAATCAGCAAGAAAGTGACAGTTTACAATTCAATTATCAAAAGAACAAGTCTGTTTATTTTTTTCCTCCCAGATTCACCCAAAAAACCCACAGTGTCGGTCAGTCTGTCCGGTCCAATACGACAAGACAACATTGTGACTCTGACCTGTAGTAGCAGTACCAACCCAGCTGTAAAGGACTACACCTGGTACAGAGCTGATGGAGGCCAGGAGACTTTCATGGGGACTGGACGTGTTTTAACTGTTAAAGCTTCAGATGTCAGCGGTCCTTTTTTCTGCAAGGCTGAAAATGAACTGGGGAGTGGACGATCTGACAACAAAGACTTATATGTTCAGCGTATGTATACAAGTTAAACTGTGTGTTTTTAAACCTTTAAAGGTCTATAATTCCTCCAGAGCAGTGATTTACTGATTATAAAATGTTGTTAATGTTTCAGTTTTCAAGATTGATTTCCATCTTTGGCACTTTCTGTATTAGTATATAAAACATTACTAATTTGTCTTTTTCATCCAAATGTCCATGTGTGCCAATTTGGGCCAATCAATCATTCAGTTTCCCTTTCATAATCAACTCCTTCATGTGCCAGTGGGTTTAATGTGTTTAAATTATGCTTTTGAACATAACCACCATGAAACAATCAGAAATGAATATTGAATTTCTTTTGGCTCAGTGTTGTTCCTGCTGAAACCACTCCTCTTCTTTTAGTCTTTTGGTTGCTCAGCCTACACTCGTCTCTCTTGCTCGCTTTGCGGTCTTGATTTGGAAATATGATACAGCTTTGGTACTTCCTTCACTGTCAAACTGACAATGAAGTAGACTTTAGTGGTAAAAACCATCAAGTTGAAAAAGTGTCCCCCCCCTCCCCAAGTTTTTTAATCAGTGAAGAACTATCAGAATTTATGTACAGATAAATACACTTAACTTAAAATTAATGACACAATAGTCAATTTAATTTTCCTCAACTTTAGTTTAAATTAACAATGAAATAATTTTGAAATAAAATCTACTGAGCAAATAATAAGCACATGTTATTAGATACACACTGTAATCAGCCTTTAGACTGACTAAAATTAATTGTGCCTCTCATGAAGATCAGTGCCATCCAATTAAATAATTCAATTATATTAAAGCAAAAATATGGGGTCAGTGAGAACAAAAGGAGATGGGGTTGTAATACATTGTCCTGTCTTAATTATTTATTACATGCCAGTTATTTGTTGCTGATTACATAAACACAACACTAAACAGGGTTATGATATTATCATGTTATTTCTTATGACAGGTCTTGAGGATAACTGTGGACCCTACAGTGGAGTTCTCTTCTGGGCTGTTACTGGAGTGTCTCTCACTGTGAACATCGTCCTCACACTCTGCATGGTGTTTCTTTGGTATGTTATTACACCGGAGGACTTTTTAGAATAAACTGTGCTGATGAAGATATGACAAATGAGTTGTTTGTAAAACAATTTTTAATCCTCATTTCTTCTTTTACTAAAGGAAACAAAGAGAGAGCATGAAGCCAAAAGAAGAGGACAGCACTTACATGGCATTGGATCACACTAACAGATCTCCAGACTATGATGTCATTGCCAAACGTCATACCTGATTATTTGAAGACTCTCTCTCTGTCTCCCTCTCTCGCTCTGCTCTTCCTGCATTGCTTTAAATATCGACTTTGCGATATAAGTGTCGATATTTCAATATTCTGCAGGGTGTTTGGCACAATACATGATAAATTCTCAGTAATTTCACATAATATTTTCTCCATGAAGCCTCTGATGTTCAAATCTGGAGAGATATTGATCATGAATTATGGATAAGTTTGAGGTGATGGTTTTCACTTTTGTTTGTATTGAAGCTCTGCTAATCAAGATTTTATTTTTTATTGAAAAAGTAAATGGTTTATCAAAAGAGATGCACATTGAATCAATCCAAGATATGGAAACATTGGTACAGTTGTATCCTCTGGGGCGCTGTTTTTATCTTTTTAGTGATTTTATACCATGCATTGCATTTAAGTTGCAGGTTTTTATACTGTGCTTTGTATTTCATGTATCTTGTATTGTATTTTATGTCTTTTGGATTTTCTTATTTGGACCCTGAGTCTGTAATAAAGTTTTGATTCATTCATTGCATGCTCTTGTTTTCCAATCAGATTAAAGAAAGCCTGTGAGGCCAGTTCCAGAGGACAGGGTTTAAATGGCCCTGAATCAAAGACGAGGTTAAGGAGGACATTTTAAAGGTCCAATATGTAAGATATCTTCTGAATTAAATCTTGAAATGGTCTTACTATATCATCAGACATTAAGGAAACATGATCTGTTTAAGTGCTGGTTTATCTGAAAACATAGCAGTCGTATGTCCTCCTTCTAGTTTTCCATTGTGGCGCAGAATCATTGTATTTTGAGCAGAGAAGGTAGGCGGTTGCTTCTGAAAAAAGGAGAGAGGTTAGAGAGCAGAAAAGTCTCTAGACCGATGCAGAGCTGGTTAAAAACTGAAGCTTCAGTGTCCACGACATAGCAACCTGTTTGCACATTGGCTCTAGGAGGGAGGGGGCGGGGGAAGAAAGCTCTGTCCAATGTTTTGAAATTGAAGAAAAGTGTTGACGAGCTGATATCCTAAATCACACAAGAACGTTAAAACATTATTACAGTGGTAACAGATACATGTTTATCTCTGAATTTATAGTTTCCGCTCTTCTGGCGGTTGAGAAAGGCGTCCTAATACTGCTGGGGAAGTTCGTGGTCTCAGTTTCCATCAACGTGTTTTAACCAGCTTGATTTTATCATTGAAAGATAGTCCTTGTTCAGTCACGTTTACAAATCAACAAGCTCAGGTTTTTACTTCTACTCAATTTAATCTGAGAAAACCCAGACAGGAGGACATTGTTGATGAATGCTATTAGAGGTGTTCCTGTTCCTCGAGGAAACAAAATAACGGCCTTCTCCTAATCCTGCCATGAATTATTTAGTTGAGTTTATCAGTATCACCGTGGGACTGTGTCTCAATATCTTACAACTTACATTCAACATTACCCCAACAAACAGGACAACATCCAGTATTCGGGTTGCATCATATAAAATGACAGCACTAACAGGACATTCATTTTTTTTCACACATTACGGACAGCCTCTGGACACAGAAATGATAAGATAAAGTGAATGCAGTGACATCAGTGTGTAACAGCCAGTGTTGGGTAGTGATATTGATATTAGGTAGGAAAAAAAACTCTAGAGTGATATATCGGCCAATGTCTCTCTTATATCTAATATTAATAATAATAATAATAATAATAATAATACATTTTATTCATAAGCGCTTTTCAAAAACTCTTACACACTAAACATTTGATAAAAAAGACAAAAGAAACAGCACAGTAAGGAAAGACTAACAGACATTGCAGCATTCCACACAAATCATAAAGACAACAACATAAAGGTACAGCTACAGATAAACAGAACACATATCACAATCATACATCAAAAGATTGTTTGAAGAGGTGAGTTTTGATCAGTGATTTGCAATTAACCCAGATGCAATTTGTCCTGCAGAAACATGATGTTGTAACAGAGTGTCCAGAGGTGGCACCTGTCTGTTCTGATGAAATAAATAATTTTTGTAGTAGTTCAAGCAAGAAAGCTAGGGCTTGAGTGGCTTGTCAAGAGGTCGACTTTGTGTCAGTTT